CCCCGTATTTGTTATTTCTGTATTACTTAGGAGTACAGAAATGGCTAGTGTGTGTTCCCAGTTGCTTGTGCTGCAGAAGTCGTTCCCTATTTTTAATCATTATTTCCATTTGCTTTGCTTTGTCTAATTCAATGTAATTTCTGAGATGGGGAGACCAAAACTGGACGTGGTAGATTGGTCGATGTAGATTAATTTATACAAAGCATTAAAAAGTTGTTGGTTTTTTACATGTTAACTCTCAAAATACTTTTGTCTGCTCTTGAGTATCAAGACAACTTTTTTTTCAGAAAACTATAATTTCAAAATCCTGCTTTTTGGTGCTAATAGTAATCTCAGAGCCCATCATTTTAAGTGTAATTAAGAAGGCTTTTTCCCTGCGTGCATTTATCACATTTTTCTTAAATGATTTAGTCTACCATTTTATAATGAGGCTCTTCTGGAGTTCTGCTGTTGATTTACCTATTCTGAATAACCTGGTGTTGACAGTATAATTGGCCACCCTCATGCTCTTTTCTGGCTGAGAAACATTGAGAGTCTGATGCAGGACCTGCTGTTCCTCCATTGCCAAAGTTGATCGGTCCTTCCACTCTTCTATTTCCAGCAATTGTTTATCCATGTAAGGATGTTTCCGTATATGCCTAGTTAGTTTAATTTCTTAAATAGTGTTTATACTAGTGGCAAATTTTGGAATTTGTAATGTATTTTGACTGATTACTGACGTGTTTGCAAAACCTATTTGAAGTCTATGTCAGTGAATTGTGTTTTGGTCAAGTGATGATTATTCCCTTCTTATGCAGCTGAGTAGATGAATTGCAAAAATGGCAGCCAGGAATGAGATGCAGGTATGTGCTTATGGACCAGAATATGCGTATTGATTGTTTTAATTACTAGCTTAAAGCACTCCTTTAATTTGCAGTGTGGCAAAGAATGTGGTAGGAAGATACTTTCCTTTGATACAGGTTAGTGCTAAGTAGCTGGGTAGAAAGCAAGAGGAATTGGAAATTGTTACTGATGAAAATACATCATATGCATTTGACATACATGAATCAGTTGGGATGATACTTAAGATAAAAATATTGAAATCTGGTTATAATTGATTTAGAAAGAATAGAGAGGCAAAATAGTTGAGGAAGACTAGTCCTCAAATATATTAATATCTTTAAAAGTCACTAATAGATAACTTAGAAATATTAAATGTACTAAGGAAGAGGTATTAACACAATGATCATATGTAAGCATTTATTTGTAATATGAGGAAAGAAGTTAAGGAAGTTAAGGAAAACTGGCAAATAATTAAAAACTTGGTGAATAAGTATTTGCATGTCTAATGTATTAGATACGGTGTTCTGTACTTTAGGTTTTACATTTAATGATTTTGTGATTCAGAATATTTGCTTAGAACGCAACAAATGATTGCGTAAAACCTATGTTAAATCTTGTTGAATCAGTATCAGTGTTAAGCATACCATAATACAGTTGCTCTGTCTTCTTTTATTGTTGACAGTTTGAAAAGTTAATTGATGAAGCTACAAGAAAAAAAAATTTCCAATTATTAGAACAATTTCTGGCAACAGAAGACTCTGAAAATGTCTCTCACAAATGCAGCAAACAGTTTGTCAACAAATTAGACAAGCTTCTCTGTCGGGTAATGTAATCATTACATCAGAATCATCTATACTGTTATTGTAATAATTTGAAAAACATTTTTTCATTTGGCTTGGTTTATACCAGCAGTCGATTTGAAAAACTAAAATAAAATCTAAGAATGAAATCTCTACTTCAAGCTGCAATTAAGGTGGCTCTTGAGAACAAAAAGGTATCAGATTAATTAAATACAGGTTCTTCTAGAACTGTACACTAAAGCTTGTGTTATAATTTCAATTTCAGGAACTTGACAAACAAGAAGTCAAAAGCATTTCCACTTTACTAAATTCTATTCAGAAATGTGGGGAAAAAATCAGCATAGCAGGAGAAGATGGGCTTCCAGCGATGATAAAATATGGTCTTATTGGAAGGATAAGTAAAACCATAAAGCATACGTGAACTTCTTAAAAAAAAAAAAAAATTAATAAAGCATGCATAAGTAATGCTTCAGTGCTGAACAGCTTAGTATTCGATTTGGTCCTTCATTGTTTCTGAATTAAGAATTTCCCATAGCTTTGCAACAAACATTATTCAGATTTAAATGTTCTTTGACAAGTTTCTCCTTGTAAAGTGATGCTGCTCTACCTCCGTGGAGGTTTTGCAAATTATGCAATATATAATAAATTTAGATATGCTTACAGCAATTACAAGAAGATGATATCTTTTTATATGAGCTTGCTATACTGCTTTTGAGTCAGGAATTGGAATTTCCTTGTGCAGTTTAATTTTTTTTTTTTGTTAGTACTCGCAACAACAATATTGTACCTGTTCTCTCAACAGATTATAGTGCTATTCTGATTATTTTGTGTTATTTCAACCTGCATGTTAAATGCGTTAGTCATTTGTAACTCAACATAATACATGTACTGAAAAATAGACACCATTTCCTCATTGGTTTCACCAGAGATTTCACTGAAGAAAATTAATGGCAATGTCAGATGAATGTACTCAATTGCCTTCTCAACTACTTTAATGAAAAAAAAAAAAAAAGCGCGGTGCTAACTGCATACTTATATTCACACCTACAAACACACTTTTTCATTCAGTCATTATCTATTTTCAACTGTTGTCTGTGATGGCAGTTGTAAAAGTAGATCTCTAGTTTTTGTGTTAGAAAGTCAGCTACAGTAATTACTTACATTAGTTTGAAATCACCTACATTCGTTTAGTGTGAGTGAAAAATTTCAGTCTGGGGCTAAAGTATGCTCAGCAGACTCATAATGTTGCTGTTGTTTTAACCTTTGTATAGTTTGTATAATTTTACTTAAGTATAATATAAACTATTGTCCTTTTTCATGCTATTAAAATAGTTTTATTTTTCCTTTACATGGTTAATTGGTTTGAAAAGGTAAAAGGAATTTTGATCCTCGGAGGAAATGAAAAGAATGAAATGCTTTTAAGTCTGGCTGAAGATTTCTTCAACGTATTGCTGGTAAAAATATATTGATAATAAAATACTTTGTGTGTATTTGTCAAAATAATTATTACTAGTTAAGCAACAAAAAGACTTTCAAATGTGTTTCTGTTTAATATCCTTCTAAAGTTAATGTTACAATGATTTCTGAAATAGATTGTAAGTCTTTTTGGATAAATAGTTTGCCTGTATTCATACTCATTTTCTGTTCATGTTTAGCATCATGAAATAAAATTTTAAAACCCCAACAATGTAAGTGTTCATTGAACAAAAAAAATTCATCTTGGTCTAATTTTGATTACATAAATTATTGGTACGCTAATCCCAGGACCCCAGGTTTATAAGAGTTTTCTTCTGTTCATAAAAATTTTTGTCATTGGAGAAATAATTTCCATAAATTTAACTGAAATATAATTTTGAGAAACCACACTTGGTATTAGAAGTCTTTTATGTTCTTCATTAAGGATGAAATAATTTTAAAATCTTCAGTGCTTTTTGGTTACTTGCTTTAGGTACACGTTACCTGATTTTTATGCTGTAATATTTACACTATCAAAATAATGTGTTTCGGTTTGTTTTTTATTGTAGGCTATATGTGATAGCAGACCTGAAGGTGAGCTTAAAAAAAGTGTCTGCTAGATATGATAGTTAAAGTGTTCTGAAATAGACATTTTAAAGTTATCAGTGTTAAAATAACTCTTGCTACTTGTGGAGCCATCTTGAAGCAAGGTAGTTCTGAGAAGAACATGTATAATGAGTGTGGTACAAAGTTTCTTGATCTAATGTAAGTATATCACCAGATCTATATGCTTCAGCTAATAAACTGTAACAGAAAAGGGCTTATCCTCAGAAGAGGGCTGTTCTGCGCAAAGGACTACATTTCTGATTCACGTGAAAAAAGTTTGAAGGTCAATTATAACTTTGATAGTTTAGTTTGAGGTTTCTATACTGACAGATTTCCTTGTAACTTGCTGATGTCAGTAATAAAAAAAACCAGGATAGTCTCTCTTCAGAGATGGCAACTGAACTGAGTTTTTCCTAAAAAGAACATTGTTTCTAAGCTACTGTCATAGCTCAGCATAGCACGCTAGTCCTTCTTTATTGACCTTGTTATCACGAATATCACGCTGCTCTTACCTTTCAGTATAGTAGAAAGTCACTACAGACCATTATGCTATCACGATCAAAATGAAAGATTCATTTCCTTGTCCCTGGGAAGATAAATTCCAGGATCTGAATTATATCTCAGATAGATAGCTAAGTTACAGAACTGATCTGATTATTTTTTAAAAATAATGATCGCGTGCCCAGGGGACTTATGCAGTGATGCACAGGAATAGAAACATTATAAAGAGCCATATTTACTATAAATTGAAGTAACTATTCTGTCTTGCATTTAACCATGAAGCTTAAGATGTTTATTTTTAAATATCAGTAATCCTATATGGAAAGGAAGGCATACTGTATTTTATTTCTAAATGAAAACAAATCTTTTTCCAAATGCTGATGAGGGGGCACCCTAATACACTCTCCATGACTCGTAATTTATTTTTTTCCTGTTCTTTAGGTAAAATGCAAATACTAGAAAACTTTGTTCTGAGAACATGCACTCTCATCGCTGATGTAAGAATTAGTATTGGAGGTAAACATTCTTCTTTCTAAGCAACAGTTTTCTGGTTAGTGTTTTAACAGACTTTGTGAAGATAGTAATTTAACTGTACAGATGCTACGAAAAAGAGAATATTGTAGTGCTCTAGTATCAGAAGGGTGATTTAATGTTTCTCTGGGAATGTGTGTTGTCGTTTATATGTTGGGGGTTGGGGTTTTTTTCCGGATTACTGACCTATAATTTTTGTTTTGGGCAGTAAATTACAAAACAGTGATACTAAGATTCTGGTGAGAAAGCTGTATAAAAGCGTAGGAAATAATATGCTCTATTACAACTGCTATAAATAGGGCTAAGATTGTTGGTTGGAAAATCTTTAGATACTTGCAGGAAATTTGTATACCTTCTAATACACTGCAAATTTCATCTGTTTATTTTAGTAACCTCAGGTTGTCAGGTTTTTTTTCCTCTCTAAAGAAAGAGAAAGTTACAAAAAAGACTTCTGTAAAGGCTACATCCCCAAAGGAAAGGGTTTTTAATGCAAATTGAAGGTACACTTTAGCTCAGCAATCAACTGCAGACCGAACGCTAGCTTTGAAAGTTTTTTTTTTCTATATTTAAAGGTGCAAATAAGAAACATAACCCTTTAACAACTGATGTTCACAGTAAAGCCAGTGTAATTTATTGAAATTGAGGTAGTTATATTAAGATAAATACCATTTGAGGTCAGATACAACTCATTATCTTTTCTTGTTTTGCAATTATTTAAGCATGTTATTTTCTTCAGTGGTATGAAGGGGGGCCCAAAATAAGAATAACTTAAACTTTAACAACTTATTTTATATTTAATCTTTCTCTCTTTTTTCCACTCTTCTTAGGTAGTAAGAAAACTTAATTTAATGCTTGATAACACGCCTCGAGATGCCAGGAAAAAGATATTTTCTACAAAGGAAATGTTGCTTGTCATGTAAATAATCATCAGTATAATTTTTTATATCATTACATCATTTGCATAGCTGGGAAGGCAATTTTTACTAAGGCTGTTTAGAATGCATGCAGAGTGGTCCCTGTTTAATTCACTTTTGCATTTGCTATTGTGTTGCCAGTGGTAGTGGCTGTGGGCAGGTATTTTCATGGGTTATTCTTTATTACAAGCCTAAATTTACCTCTTTCCTAACTTAGGTTAGGCTTCTTCTCATCCCAGTTGTCTTAAAATAATTAAACTCCTATTTCTAAGAATGTGTGTAAAGCACAGTGAGTCAGTCACTGGAAGGACAAGCTATTCACACTGGGAAACTTTTTTACAGCATTTCAAAAAATAAATAGAACAAAAATTATATATATCAGGTGATTCACTTCCGCAGTAGTGCTTTCAGATGTATATCCTTAGCATAACAGACTTACCCCTTTGAAGACTAATAGTTTAATGGAATTGGGGTTTTGTCTCATACATTGAAAGCTTGTAATTAAATAAACTTTTCTTCTATGCTTTGTATTGCTGTCATATTTTGATGAAACGTTACTTTGTTTGGCAGGAGTGACATGGGGAGGAGAATTTTGGATGCTGGAGGTGAGCATGGGACTTAATAAATGATTTAGTATTGAGCTTCTTAAAAATTACATGCAGACCCATTAAAAATCCAGAGAAGACATTTAGAAGCTGCAGAATGTTGCAATTACAGTCCTCTGAAAAATACAAATACTGCATGAAAACAATCTGGAAACTGGAATGTTTCAGATATGTGCAGTGTATGGCTAACTCTGTGAAGTTTCCAGTCCTTTTCTTCTCTAGAATGTAAGTTTTAAAATAGCAAAAGCTCATAAGGAAGTCAGTCTTTGAGGATAATGAACTGCTAGTATTTAGTAGTACTAGAACTTCTCTCAGGGATCACTTTGGTATCCAACAGTTTCCCAGTTCAGACAGATGAAAGTTGAGAACTTATCTCTTGCTTATATGCCTAGTGTTGCTCTGACATTCCTTGAAAGTTTGGTTGAAATTTCATTTTGAAACATAAGTTGTTTAGTCATCCTTATTCCCTTAGTTCTTTATCTATATATCCTTTATGGGTTACGTATTTGGATATAATGTGATATGTAATATGAAACATTCAGCACTGCCTATACCAGTTTCCTACGTAATAATACTTTTTTTCACGTCAGTAGTATCTTTAAAACTACTGTTCCTGTAAAATGTATTGTGCTGTAGACTATGACCTGCAAGTAGCCATTACGGAAGCTTTATGCAGAATGATATCTGAGAAACAAAGAGGAGAACTGGCGTACCAGTGGTTTTCCATGGAGTTTGTGTCCAATGCATTTAAAGGAATTAAAGATTCTGAGTTTGAAACAGTAAGTCATACGAAAAATATTTCCGGGGAGGTAAATGTTTGTTTTACAATTCTTTAAGAAATTTCTGTGTTTTAATAGGATTGCAGAAAATTTCTTAACCAGGTGAATGGCATGCTTGGAGACAAAAGAAGGTAAAACTGAATTTTTTAAAGCTCATGTTTTGGGTTTTTTTGGTGTTTTTTTGTTTGTTTGTTTTGTTTTTATTTTATGGCCATTCATCGGGAGTAGCCTTTGTATCACAAGAACTGTTTTTGGGAACTCTGAACTAAAATAATACAAACAAGTAAGACTAATATTGCTGTGGTATAAAGTCAAGGAACCGTGCAGAGTTAAGATATTTTTAAAATATTAAACAGTAAAGAAATTGAGTAACACCATCTTTTGGCACATTGTCACATGGATATTATCTTCTCTATCAAGATGTTAATTTTATGTAATTCCGATATTTGGAACAAAGACAAACATAATGTAAGTTTCAGATTATTAGATAACAGCTTGAAGAAACTGTTCACTAAATAAAGAATATTCGTTTAAAAAGATTCTTAAATAATATAAAGCATATGCTACACTTGCTTTAATAAATGTTTATAAGGAGCTAGTTTTTGTGTTCTATTTAGTTCTGTTGCAAAATCCTGAGATGCTCGTTAATTCAATAAACATATCATCTAACAATAGCTAGTAATCTGTTGGTATATATTCGTTTATTGATGTAGGATATTTACATTGAGATAATCATCAATGAGAATATCTGCTAGAGAAATAGGATACAAAAAGGAAGAGAAAATACGAGCTTTTTTCTTATCTATATGATCACATGCTCTGTGTGTTACTTTTGTATGTCATGACAGCAAAGAGATTGGTATGTTTTTATATCAGGTGTATTTTCAGTTTGAATACCATTCTTAAAATATCAGGAGATAAGATAGAAGTATGAACATAGTGACAAGAGCTCTGAGACCACTGCTTTAATTGTGAGGATATATAAAATTTTATGTTACCTCCTTTGGGGAAGAAGTGCAGTCAAGTGATTGCTCTTTCGATTGTTGTGATCTCTTAGTCTCTAAAGCACACAAGTTTTGTGCTGAAAACACAATCCAGTTGCTGTGTTCAGATGCGCAAAATTTATTTACAGCATTTTAGGATACTTGACAAAATACCCTTTTCTTACAGGGTTTTTACATATCCGTGCTTATCAGCAGCTCTTGATAAATATGAGGTAAGTTACAGGGTTAATTGTATATAGATTTTCGTTTGTGCAGCTGAAGAATTTCTTTGCTTTCGAAATAGTTAAGAAAAAAATAAGGATCAAATAAGAAAATTATTTTTTTTCAGGAGTGTATGGATGTGCATGTGTTTATGAAGTTTGTCAGACTGTAACACAAAGCCTGTTAGCTGGTATAAATCGTTGCTGTCCACTCTTACTCTTTTATCTGAGTTTTTTTGTTTTAGCTACAGATACCATTGGATGAAAATCTTGAAGAATTTTGGATCGATTTCAACGTTGGTAGCAGAAGTATATCTTTCTATGTGGCAGCAGATGATGCAGTAAGTTAATTTTTGTCTGTCATACTAGATTGTTCTGAGGCAGTAGATACATTCTTTCAAGTGTGTATTAAATTTGTTTCCCCACATCAACATGTGGAAGTTATGTGCACATGTATAGTGTGAAGGGGGGGAAAAAAAAGAAATCTAGATTTGGTGTACATATTTAGATTAAACAATTTCAAAGTAATGACCTTCTAATACTGTTTGCGAACAGTTTAACATATGCACATGTGAACAAGAAGCCATTTACAAAGTTGCGGTTATAATTTTTGTAGATGAGACTCAACTGTTTAATGACTTTACCAAAGCTCTTCTGAAATATTGTTCGCTGTTACCAAGGAAGCATATGTTCATTGTCACTCCTTGTAACACAGGATTTAAAAAGCTGAAAATTTGTCCTCACTGAGTAACTTTCTGATCACTGCACTTCATTTAATTGTAATATAATACTTTTCTAGCTTTAAAAATATGTATTTTTCATGTAAGGATCATCAGTGGGAAACAGTCATTATCCCAGAAGAAGAGGTAGACCTGTACAGCCTTGAAGGTATTGGCACTCAAAAATGTGACCTTTTGTTACACACTCACTTGGATTTTCAAACTGATTAATCCTAAAGTACTGACTCAATTCTCAGTAAAGCAAAATGCCCACTTAAAATATTATAGGTACTGGTTTTATCAAGGAAAAAATTGCACTGCAGTCACATTTGCATTTTAGGCATGCAGGTGTGATTTTTTTAAAATAATGTCTTGTAGTTATTTCAATGCAAAATAAGTCATCAGACAATGACATTTAATAATGTTCCTTTTAAACTAGTTAGAATAGTTTTGTAAATATCTGTAATTTGTCTGCAGCTAGAGTACATAACCTTAAAATTCTACAGGATAATATACACAATAAGTATTTCTAAAAGATTGAATCTTGAATTATTTCACAAATAACATTTATTGTAGGTTAGAGTGAAATAAAGAAAATATACTTTTTAATAGCTGAACTGAAGCATACAACTAAGTTTCCTGTATTTACAAACGTTATATGAGATGTTGTTGAATTGTAATGAAACTACTTTTCAAATTTTGTTTTTGTCCAGAAAAAGATTCAAAGAAATTATTAACAATAGATCTAAAAAGCCCAATGAATGTGGGTAATCAAGAAGGAGAGAAATTTTTTTTATATTTTGATTCTATCTTGGAAATCAAAGACGTAATCAGAAAGATTTATGGATTTAGTAAATGTAAGGTAAGATTTAAACACCTTTTTGAATAGTTTTTAATTGATTCAAAATAAATGTCTCATTGCCATATAAATGTTCTTATAGCTGTGATTATTGGTATCTACTTATACCGAGAGTTTCTGATTAACATTGCCGCTACAGAACAGCATTTCTCCCATAATATGTTAAACTTCGGTAAAGATGCTTAATAAGGGCGAGAGGAATGGCCTCAAGTTGTGCCAGGGGAGGTTTAGATTGGATATTAGCAAAAATTTCTTCACTGAAAGGGTTGTCAAGCATTGGAACAGGCTGCCCAGGGAAGTGGTTGACTCGCCATCCCTGGAGGTATTTGACAGATGTGTAGACGTGGCGCTTAGGGACACAGTTTATTGGTGGACTTGGCAGCGTTAGATTAATGGTTGGACGCGATGATCTTAAAGGTCTTTTCCAACTTAAATGATTCTATGATTTTAAGATGTAAAATCAATTGCAACAAAAATTAACCGGCTGGAAAGGAATCACCATAGCTTAATGTCAATTTTTGCATATGTAACTTTCCAGAAACACAAGAACTGGATGCTTACAAATATGGAAGTCTTTCAGAAATTGTTCATTAGCTATCCCATTTTGCAGTACACTTACCATGCTTATGAATGTACTCATTCAGTAAAAAACTTTTAGCAAGCCATAGCTTACTGCTTGTAACAAACTACTTTGCCCTGAACTCTGACTGAGAAACTCGTGAGGAATGGAGCTGCTATGAGCTTGTAGAATCTATTTTCCCCTATAACCTGAATTCAGACACTTATAATCTCTGACTTAAACATTTTCTTTCTGTTTCTTGTTTAAAAATAGTGAGCAAAGTGTATAGTTTACATAGATGGTTACTCACTTTGTAGGGCTTTAGTAAGAAGCAGTCTGCATCAGTTGCCAAAACAACTGTACATGTCGTCTTTGATGAAAGTGGATCGCAGGTATTTTACTTCAGTATGCTGACATGGTTGCTTTCTTGTTTTTTATATTTAGTCTGATTATTAGCTAATTTATGATCATTCACCATAAAAACAAGGACTTTTAAAATGCCAATAAGTAAAGATAACTCTAAAACCAGTTAAGTGATTTCTAGTATTTGGGGAGATAATAATGTTGATATCCAAATCATAGAATACTTCAGACAGATATACACAGGGGAAGTTTTTATGTGAATCCTGATTTGGTAACCCGTCCTTGTTAGTGAAAATAACAGTTAGGCTGGATGCTTTTCAAACTAAAAGTATATAAGCTCTGAAGTTTATCAAAATCTGCAGTGAGGAAAGTGTTATTTAGGGTAAAGAAGTTGCTCTCTGTGTGTTTGTATAAATATAAAATATAAAAAATAACAAAAGCCAAATATTGTATAAAAATTTTAAAACTCCAAAATATTATATAGGTTCTGGTACCAGAAAGTCAGTTGTCACCGTGTTTGGAAGAAAAATCTGAAGAAGAGGAGAAACTCAGTAAGTACAAAACCCAGCAACTTCCTGGAACTTTGAGGACTCTGAATAAAAATAACAATCAAGAAAAATGCAGAGGTGGTTCTTCCAAGGTAAGTAGGATTATCGAAACAGAAGAGAGTACATCAAAAATACAAGTCAATCTAAAAAAAACCCTGTTAGTTTACAGTTGGAATATAATTAATACAGGGCTTGATAGTTTTTCTTATGACTTGACACTAAGCTATATAAATCCCTTTGCAAAAAAGATTTCTCATTATTATGCATTTTGAAACTATAACAATGTGACAAAAATAAAAAGCAGTTGTTAACATTCTTTAGACCATTATGCTCTGAGAATTCTCTTTAAAGATAAATGTTTTCAAGACATGCTTAGATCTCTTAGGATATGCGAAAGTCTAGTATAGCCTCTGGAGACTTACTAATGGTCAGCAATAGTAATAGCTGTATTAGAGACAAGTCCTATAGGCTTGGCATTCACAAAGACTGACGGTTACAAAAAAGTATGTGGTTGTCAAGATGAATCCTGTATCCTGGTTATTGAAATCACAATTTCATGGGACTGCTCCTGTGCATAGCTGATTCTCTGGTTTAAACTGAAAGGAGCCCAATTCATTAGGCGTGGTGTTTCTTTTGCCCCACAATTACTCTAAAGTTATAAATGTATTATGGTTATACTGGGGGGGGGGGAGAGGGGAAGATGAAGCAATGTCACCATGTCTTCATCATGCAACAGACATGCAATGCATGTTTTGCTAGCAGTAGTCTAGTAAACATGTTCTTGAGGTTCTGCTGGTTTATAGCTTATGTGATAGCTTTGCAGGAACTCCTGGGAATCATCTTAGTTACTTTGATTGTTAACAAGGGACAGGATTTGTCCATACTTTGTTGAATTAATTTAGAAAACAACAATCACTGATCTTAACGTTAGTTTTAAGTATTATATAATGCAAGAATTCTGGTGAACTTTCTATAAAAAGGGAACTGCATAAAAATCACATTATATTGATGCGTGCAGCAACAGCAATTGACATTCCAATGATAGAAAGTGTCAAAAGACTCTTGGAAATACATTTTCTAAAATCTTGTGTTGTCATCCTTAAATCTGTGTATTATGGTCAAGTTTTTTCTGTTCCTCAAGATAACTACATCTTGTAAAAGGAAAGTGTCTGAAGCATCCGTGCTTATTCCTGGAAGTACAAGATTTTCCACAAGGAGTCCACTGGCATTTGCTAGCGCATGTAAGTTTACAAGCACTTTCAGGGTAAAAATATGCTATAAATCGTCTTTGAAATACAAGCATGAACTGTGATCCTTTGCAGAGCTGGAAATGAAGAGTAGACCTTATAAAATATACTTAGAAGGTGCTTTAAATTTGAAATTTTTAAACTAGACCACTTGCTACTGATCCATAGGCATGATGCAGGATAGTAGTTGCACATGCGTTCCAAACAGCTGAAGGCCACCTATCATTTTTACTGCTGCTGCCAGTCAGCTGTTTCTGCTGGAGCGAGTTGAGAAGTCGGCAATTGATTAGAAGACCGAAAACATAGGTGTTTTTTCATCTCTCTCCTCATATGCTCTTGGTTTAAAGAATTCTTAGCAGTTAGTGCTTTTATAGCAGTTGCATTGGAAAATCAGCTTTCTCCAATGTGTACACCTATCACTTGCATTTTATGCTTATCTAGAAACTGCGTGTGTTTCTTCAAGGGGCAGCTGATTATATGGCTAGTGAGCAAGGTGGGATCCACTGCAAGGTTGAGATGTGGGTCCAGTGCTACTGATGTTTACGTCAAAAGTGTTTATTACAGAGAAAAGGATAAGGAAGAGACTTTATCACAAATGGGAGTCATCACTTTTCTACTAATAGTTTTACTGTAAAAGATACTTAATATTTTCTACAAGGGAGAGATTTGTAAGTCAAAGACCAGTAGAGGCTGGAGATGCAACTAGTGGCGGAACAGCATGACTAACAAACTTAATTTTCTTGCTTTAACTGTCTCAAGTGCATCTGTATCCTTAGATACATATATCCGTGTATCACGTATAAATTAAGACTAACAGAGGCTAGAAAAGAAAGCGTTTTCAGATTAGGATGGAACAAGACAGAGAACTTCTGTAACTTTTTTATTTGGAACTTAACCACACAGTCTTTTCCAGCAACAATATATTACAGTAAAATCTTTAAATAGATGTCCAGATATTTTCTACCAGAGCCAGGCTGTAAAAAGCATTGCTTGCCTCCAGACATTCAGAGTCTGTGGGCTCGTTAACCTCCATGGAACTTAGTTGAAATCAATAGAATTATAAAAGGTACATAATGAATTGATATGAATACTAGCCAACTTTTTTTAAAGGTTATGGCATAGATGTGATCATGGGCAAAACTCTTCATATTGATGTCACAGACAGCACAGTAATCGTAATAGAAGAAATGGTAGAATTCTAACATGTCTCTGGTTTGTTTTCAGCCACTCCTTGTAAAGGACGATTTAAATTACCTTTGGAAATGATGAGCTCTGCTGAAAGGTCTAACAATAATGCAATAAATGAGACCAGAACAAAGAATTTCTATCAAGAACCTGCTGAAGTACGCATGTCATCTGTAGCTAAATCTTTTACTTAGAATAACATTAATTTCTATTCTAATTTGTTCCTAATTCATATTTCAAAGAGCTAGAGTTTTGCAGTCAGCAACTCACTTTTAGAAAATAGTATTTTACTTTATTGCATAATGTTTTCTTGTCCTCTGGATTTCAGGTTTAAGATGTCTAAAGTCAGACTGAACTCTTAGAAAATTAGCCAAAATTTGCATTCACTCATCAGTTCTGACCCCAGAGTTAACTTGCTTTTACTAGAATCACAATTCTTCCTTTGTGTGTAATATGAGAATGATGTAAGCATAGAATCTCAGATTAATTATGCAGTGTTGAAATACTCTTTAAAAACATATATTACATTCAGCCATAGTTGTGAAATGTTAATGTCTTCAGGTTATAGCATTTATAGCATTGGTTTTAGTGCATTTTTTATTAGGCATTCACTAAAATCAAACAAAACTACATAGGTGTTACTGAACTGCAGTTTAAGTGTATGTATTTTTGCTTCTGTTCCAGTTGAACAAAGACTTCAAAGTAACATTTTTATTTTCTTTCTGGTTCTAAATGTCTTTCTGGGTCATATTCAGGTCAAATCCCGGACTATGGGATTCTGAAGCATTTTTTGATATAGCCATGCTTTAGAAAAAGGCTTTAACATATAGAATGTGTAGTTTAGAATATTTCAAGTGTTACTTTCTAGGAGGATTTCACTAGTTTTGCTTTTATGGATTGTAATTGTCAGTGTTACTTATTGTGCTTTTTAGAGTGGGCAAAGATGTACGCTAGACAATGAATTTTGTGGAACAGAACAGAAGATCAGGAGGTCAAATATCAGAAATGAGGCAAAACTACCTGAAAAGGTACTGGGATCGGCACTTCTATGAAATGAAAAAATAATTTCATGTTTCATTAGAGAAAATACAAGTTTGAGGTGACACTGCTTATAGTCCTATGCTAATATTTTCTTTTGGGTGTTATCCCACTGTAGCGAATGTGTGCTGAAGAAGTTTTAGAAATGATACAAGAGGCAGAAATTGAGGCCACACAAAAGCAAACTTTAGGCAAGTAATTTTACAAGTGTTGATAGTCCTTACTTTAATTTTTCCATTTCTTTTGTAATAATTAATACCAAATTAATGTCTCATTTAGATGAAGCATTAGATATTGTTCCTGATTCTCAGCCAGTAGGGAGAAGCAACAAGCCTTTGTAAGTATTGGAAAAGAATAGCAAGTCACTGTCATCATCACTTACTTTGAAGGGAGTATTTTGAAGTATTGCCAGAATTGAAATTTTGTTGCATAGTTTCAGAAAATGCCAGAACTTAATTGTCTTGTCTTCCCTGAGAGTTGCATTAAGAACTGTTGGCTGTGTAAGTCAGGTCACTTTTATTATGTAATTTTATTTTTTTATTCTGAAATTCATGGCACCAAACCAGCACTTATATATATTTGCTAAGACTACTTCATGAACAATACTATTCTGTTATCTTAATCAAAAACTTTAAATTGGTGAATCTCTTTATGAAAATAGTACTCATTAACAAGATCAGAGCAGGAGTTTAAGTAAGCCTTAGTAGTAACAAGGAGAGTAATTATTTCAGATGACATCAGAAGGTAAAATACAAATGACATCAGAAGGTAAAATACAAATGACATATGGGTTTACATAAGTGAACTGTGCCATAAAAAGTAGTAGATTTGACACACCACGGAGTTATCTAGGTTCAAGGTTTAATGATGGCCATAGAATATTGTTGCCTTTTTGAGGTTGACTTAAAAATATATGTTGTTTCTGAAGGTTTGCCATTTTACAATGTGTTGGTTAATTGAACAATGGTAGCAGGCTTAGGTACCAATGTAAAATGCATTGATATCTACAAGATACCACTATCTTCCTAATTTGTGATGCATGTTTATTATAATTAAGGCTCTGCAATTCACAGATAATAAGATGGTATTATCTTTGTTAGGCTGCCTGGTCTTTTGGAGAGTTCTTTTGATAAAACCAAAACATGGAAGAAAAGAGCATGCTCTGTTCCTGAGAAGAATATAACAACGGGTGACAAGCAAAAGTTAAATCCATCATTGGCACATACGTCCCATCCAGGTTATGTTCACACTTTGTTAACTGATAGTGTTAAGAATATTTCAGATTAATTTTTAACCTACAGCTATGCTTTTTTTCCACTCTGTATTAGTTTCTATTGTTAGTGAAAGAACTGTGAAACAAAAAGCTTTTTATTCAGTTTTTAGAAGTATCTCTCCAGATAAACAGACATTAAAAAAGAGAAGAAAACCAAGAAAATTAAATTGATACCATGAGGGAAGAAAACTACAAAAGACTCAGTGGACAGTCAGAGTGTTAATCATTTGGAACAGAAACTGTTAAGTACAGAAGGGAAGAATATTGAAACTACTACTGAAACATAATTTAAAACATTTCTTTCAGCTAGAGTGTCTGAAACATCTCTGCGTTCTGATTTTACAAGAGAGGAATCTGATGTCCTCTTTAGAAAAGAGACTGCAAACCCAAAACAATCAAAGACGGTGAGAGTTTCTTACCTTCATTTCTTTGACTTGCAATTAACAGAATTGTCAAATTTTCAGTGTTTCAAAATTTGTATTTTACTTTCATCTAGTCGCAAACTTATTTTTAATTAACTTTCCACTAATACCAAGTGAATTAAATAATGTCAGCTTCACTGTTTACTTTTTGAGTGTGAACTGTTTAAGATTAATTTACTCTGAATTTCTTTTTTAAAATCATCTTTTTAAAACATAATTCTTAAATAAGCACCAACGTGTGCTTCTCATGCACTTCTTCATTCACTTTCCAATGTTACAGTACACAAAACCACAACATTTAAAAGAAAATATCTGCTAAACTGATGCTTTATTGCTCACTGTTTGGGCAATGCAAGGGAAAACAGTTTTCGAAGGAATGTGATTTAGTACATCTAGAAGACATTTAATGAAGTTTAGGTGATTGTTGGGAACCTGTAGTTCTGTTTGCAGCTTTGCCCTTCTGTTGAATGGGTTCGAAGTTGAGTCTTAAACTCTATTTTTATAGAAAACAAAGTCTAAAGAAATGACAGATGCAACAAAATCACTAATTACTAAAATCAGTGACAGATATAAAGTAAAGACTGATGAGAAAAGCAAAGCAAGAGTCTCCTTGGGTTCTAACAGGTATGATGTGAACTGTTTACTTTTGTGCTTATTCTTTTTGTGCATGTGGCTTTGTCTGTGATCTACTCCTCTGTCTACAGTTATTTCACATCCTGCTTTCATCTGAATTGTTTGTTCACTTCTGATAAATCCTATTGTGCCGAAGAGTAGGAGACTGGTAGTCAAATAGTTCCAGTAGTTGAAATAATTACAAAGGCTGTTAGAAACTCTATTCAGTGGTCTTTCACTCACTCACAACATGTTTCCTGGAGAGAATTTAACTGGGATAGTTCATGGGCACTGCACATGTTGAGTGTCTCCATGCTATTATCATAGTTTGGGGGTCAAACTTGGATTCAGTCATCAATTTTCTGATTATCTAAATTATCTAAAGTTCCTAGTTCTCTCTTCCTGAAAGAGTTGATTGTTAGAGAGTTAAATTTTTCAAATTCTTAAATAAGCAAATTAGTCTTCCCTTGCTGGAACTGATGCTTGGAGATACACTTTACATATAATTACAGGCTCTCCATGTTTGATTGTAACAAAGGACTGGAATAGTTAGGCTGCGCCACCATTTAAACCTTTTGGATAGGGACTTGGAAGACATGCAGAACCTGCAGTATAGCTGTGTGATGTGGAATGAATTTTTCTAGAGCCCAAAAATGAAAGGGGCTGATCTCTTTTAATCCACTTGTTTTTGTATTTAAATGCCTGAATAAATTTGTTGTGCTTGATAAGGCTTTTATTTATATAAGCAGTTTTGTAATGCATATATTCTAATTAGCATTTAACAAAATGTATCCTTATTTTTTAGGCTACATTTAAATAAATCCTGTGTCTCTAAGGTAACATGTTATTGGTTTTGTTGGAAATTTTTTTCATATCAGATATATGTATATATGTGGGGGTAGCTAGTAGATGTAAAGCACAAGTTCACAAATATCGCTGAATGCTAAATATCTGTAGATGTTAATGTTAATTATGCATTGACTGTATATACTTAAAACACCTTTTAAATATTTAATTATATGGAATAATACTTTTTACGGGCAACTATCAGCCAGTGAAATCCAAATTAATTTCTGTTTACATATTATATAATTGAACCTGTTCCTTTTGCACATGGCAATGCTAAATATTTAGAATAAAAATATTATAGTAAATGAGATTACAGAATCCTTAAATGGGATATAGCCAAGACACGGAAATTAGTCTTAATGTTTTTTGGGGAAAAAAAATTCTAAGGTTTTGTTGATATCCTTAAAGGATAAATTCTGAAAGATTTAGTTTCTACTAGCTCTTGTCCCCTTTTGCCATATTGTTCTGTTGCTAATCAAGTGGAAGTCTGAGCAGCTGCTGGGTTTTTTCATATGTTCATGATGAAGAACTTGCTTTTTGAGAGTGTGTATGAATGCATAGTCCAAATTTGACATAAGAGTTTTTATTTATGTATAGGAAGAAGTTCAGGATAGAAACCTGAAAACCACTACTCTTCTTAATATAACTGCTGGTCGTGTTATGTAAGTAGTTAAAACATTTTCAAACAAAATTTCTAATTACCCATACCTACCTTTGTGAAATGTTCACTAGTTCAGTCTGTTGATCTGTGTGTCTGTTTGACAGGGATGATGTCTACAACTTTAACATCAGTGGGTTTGATGAGCCTACAATAAAGCTTGGAGTAAGAATATAACTGAAACTGATATGTTATGAATAGAATATAAAGGAGCTCAGTCAACTTAAATTACGTCTACTGAAAGTATAGTTAACATCCTAAAAATTCAAGTTGTATCACCGAACTAAGTGGGGAAAAAAGTTTGCCATCACTTTCAAATGTATAATGATATATGCTATCCTAAGGTTCTGGCCACTTAAAGCTATTATGATGTTTTCCTGAATTAAGAATAAAACGGTTTGTTAGGAGTATCATTATTTTTAAATTACCCTATTATCCTGAAAGCATTATTACCATCCTTCCAATCCCCACTGTAAAAACATCTTTGCCCAGATGTTTGAGTAAAAAGAAAATCTAGCTAAGATAAAAGCAAAAGGCAACAAAAGATAGTTTTGCTTCTTACAGCTCAGAGGAGCCCACTGAATTGGTGAAAGCAGTGAAGCAAGTGGATGGAAACTAATGTATTAGTCTGAGATACTGAAAGCTTCAGTCAGTTAAAACCAACTGGCACTATCAGCTCTCTTTTTAAATAATTTCTAAGATAGAAATTAATCATCATAAGTTAATTGCCGAGTATAAAAACTGAGCAAAAAAAGCACTTACCTGTTACTGTCTGATGGCCTATTTAATTTTGTTTAAATTGTATAACAAATGAAAGCTTTCATTTGTTTCTTATTTACATTTTTAGATCCAAGAATTGCATGTTACTGAACTGAGTGTTCATACAGATCCAAACAAAAAAGGGTAGGGATGTTATATTGTGTCCTAGTCTGCTGATTGTCATCGAGAATAGTACTGTCTGCATTCTCCAGCATTCCATTATGAAAATCGAGGGAATGTATGCCTGACAATATTATCTTGGCTGTGTTTTTTCAAGCAATAAACATAGCTGCTGTGGTCTCCTAGGCTGTTTCATGATTTTCCTTTGGGAAGCTGATAAATAGGAAAGAATGTGGTTCATGAAGAAAACAGCTTTAGTTCTCTTCATGGAATACTACAGGGATATAAACTCCTGAATAGAGGGGGGTAGTTTTTTGTTAATGATCAGCCTGCAAAGGCACATATTGTTACTGTGTGTTCTTACTGATCTTCAGCAAATAAGCACATCCTTTAGGGTTTAAGGTGAACAGATATTTCCAAAATGGATGTGAAAACAAAAGTAGGTACATTTGTTTGAATCCTTAATCCACATATCACATGAATAGTAGAAAGATTTAGAACAAGTATTTTTAAATGTATCATTTAAAGGTGTTTTTTCTTTTTCTAATTAAGGAATGCAGATGACAGTAAAACTAGCGCTGAAGTGAAAGGAAGGAAAAAAGTAAGGCTCAGATTTCTGTGGATCATTATACCTTGTCTTCCTGCCTTTAAATATCAATTATGTAAGTGAAATGTATATTAAAGGTAAATCAATAACTGAAGAACTCTTTTGTTTTTTGCAGACTAGAAACAATCAAAACAAGAAGCATCTCTTTAGTGACACAGACACAGAATACAGAGGTGATGACAGCAAGACAGACGTTAGTTGGCTACAAGAATCGAATAGAAAATCTAAAGTCCAGATAATTGATTACAGTAGAAATAAAAACTTAGGGAAACCAATAAGCACAGACAAAAGTAAGAAAATTTTTTCATATTTTTTAAGAATACCGCAATAAGTTTCTCCATAGATATTAACTGCACAGCATGTAATGTGCTGTGTTGCAGATACAATATGTTTTTGTTGTCTTATTTCCAAGCATAAGGAATTTTCAAATTAGTTCTAATCATTTATAAAGGTTAATTTCCAAAAAGTCTGTATTTTAACGTGGAAAATTGTTGGAGGATGGGACAGGCGGAGGATGTTGTCAGCAGCAAAAACCTTTGGCTTTTTAAAATAATGTGCTGAAAGCTGTTTACTGAATCAGTAAGTTTGCAGGCATAAAAGTGATGCTGTGATTTTACAGCTAAATATCAAACACTTGAATATTTTGCTGATTTTTCTAACTTTATGTATTGTAACAGCAGATAAATTCTCTGAACCTGCTTGCCACGTGGATAAACCTAAAGGCAAAAATGCAAATAAGAAAAAGGTAAATGTAAATTTGCAACTAGACTTGTAATACATATCCAAAATGTCTTAACTCACTACAGAAACTGGTTTTAAATAATTTTTCATAAATATGTGCCATTTCTCCATGTTTATTTCAAGATCATTTGTTAAATACAGTTTGTTCTTTTCAGGTACTATATTCTTTTTATGTAATATTTAGCTAGTATTTCAGGCATAATACTAGCTATGAGTTAGAATTATTATTATACATTGATGTTTTTGTAAGTTTTATTACTTAAAATTATTGATGATGTCTATTTACTGCTTAATAGCTATCTACTCCATTGAATATGCCATTAGCTTTACAGCAAGGGTTTTCATGTGCTTCATTGTATTTCTAATGTGCTTCACTGAATTTTAATATCTTTGAGATTATAATTTCTTTAAATGAATATATGTAACATAGTCAAACTGCAAAAACAATGTTATAGATGTTAAGAAAGAATAATAATTGCAAAATATTTTAAGTGTATTAAAGTTGGGAGTATAATAAATTATAAGTGGTTATGAACATGTTAATGGAAGGTGGTTGTAGATGTTTGTAAGCCACAGTTAAAAAAAACACCCAAAAAACCCAAAACTTTCCCCTGTCCCCTCCAGACTACTGTCTAGTCTCTTAGACTGTACAAAAATTACTCAAATCTATTTAATGTTAGTAGCTTAAAGCTATATAGATGCTTTTAATGTAAATCATGCATATGAAAATATGATCACCACATGTAGGTATTGATTGTGATGTCTAGTCCATGTAAATCAAAACTGAAGAAGGCTTCAGTTCTGAACAGGGCTTCAAAACTGAGGAGGGTTTCAATTGCCCAATGTTGAATCGGTCGACTTACTAAAATATGTCCTTTTTTAGTAGCGAAATTCCCCAAATCTACCCAAGCAAGTTCAAAGTGCCTACTTTGAGGAGGTAGGGTTCCACTATTGCATAGACTTAGATGGAGAGCATCTGAAGCCAGGAAGTCACTAATAGACTTGACCCTGGAGATGAGGAGGCTAGGAAAGCATACGTTTTGCATAGAGCGCTTTTCAAGAGAGTAGGAGGCAAGAATTATAATATCTCCTAGTCTGAGAAGCATTGCGCTTGTATTTCTACATCCCTTCTGATGTCAGGTCCCTGGGGTGCTTTCAGTGAGAACATGCTTTGCTCTATTTCTAAACATTGACTGCTGAGTAGGGAGAGTGGCAGTAGTTACGATGTGGAAGGGGGACAGATAGAAAGGAAGACTGATTCTAGGATACTGGTTCCTGCTCACTATGCAGGCTTTTGGTTTTGTTCTATTTCAAACCAGTTACAGTCCAGTTTAAACATGCACACGTTTCAGAGAGCAAGCTTTGGAAACCCACTTCAGCTTTGCTGTAGTTCAAAAATGGTGTTTATTTTGCCTCTTCGCTTTTTTGACTCTTACATTCCTGACTGCACTGTGCCCTATGTGAAAGTGAAAATTATCCTCCCAAAATGCGTAGTAGACTGATGGTTGGACTTTCTGAGCTTTGGTAAAGCTTTGGTAAAGTTAAACTTTTTTATTCGTTTTAAAATAATGGATTTCAAGTAATTAAACCAAGTTTTAACTGCCATTTATTGTTATATATTTATTTATTAATCATTCTGATATAAACTGAAGATGTTTTTATTCTTCCAAAGATAAATGAATGTAAAAAACAGAATTCAAGAACTGATGAAACGATGGAACAAACCACCAGACAAAAACGACCTCGAAGAGCAGCATTAGCAAAAAATTACAAAGAGCCTTCCAGTTCAGAGTCAGAAAGTGAAAGGAAATCTTCAGCATGCACCTCTAAGGAGGAGAAATCAAAAATAAAGGTATACAGTTGCACTTTATTCTTAAAAATCCACTTCTACCATATTTTTAAAAATAAACTCTGGTCTGCTTTGTACTTAGTACTCTGAATTTTAAGTGCCCACCATGAGCAAGTTGAACTGAATTTTATTTATTGTTTCTAGTAGTACCCTTTTTTAATTATGAGTATTTAGCTGCTAAGGAAATTAGTCTTAAATAATCTTCGCAGTCATAATAGTATTTTAGTTTCTATTTATGAAATTTATTCTGCTGCAAAGAACTACTGTGTCCTTTATTTTAAAAATGTAATGATATTTTGAAAATGTCTAATAAATGGGAGGTTTTAGTGAGCCACATTTTGTTCTTTTAGGTAATGTGACTTTAATAATGCTATGCCTATTCTGTGTAAAATAGAAAATGTTGACTTGATAGAGGGTATGTCAATATATTTGCTGAATATCCAAATAGGATTTTTAGTAAATTAAGCAATGACGTTGGGTGCTAAAACATTTTCATTCTTTAAGCATAACATTTCAGTGCATATGGATAGGTGTGTAAACTTCATTGATAAATCCTGAAGCATTGGTAATTGCCTTCAATAGTTAAGAAGTTCATAAGAATAGAAATTTGGGTGCTGAATTAAACAAATTCAGTGCTTATTGATATTAGAACACCTGATACAGTTATGGATTTCAGTACTTCTAATGATGTTCCTTTTTGGACTTTCTGCTTGTTCAATGGTATATGTAGATAATATGGTCTTTACCTGCATATATATACACTTCCGTGTGTTTACAAATAATGTTTATGTAACCTTTGTATTTTAATAGAAATATATGAATAGAGAAAACAAGGATGATAATCAGCAAAAGGAACCCCAGAATATTGTATCTATGGAGCCAAAGAGTGTAGCTAACTATGTACATAAAGCATTTATTAAATCAAAGAATTCTGCAGAACAAAAGGAAATTGAAATGCCTTCATCTGAGAGTCCTGCATCTCTTGAGACAATGAGATGTAGGTATTTTGACTTTTAATTTATATAAATACTGTATCAAAAGTTGGAGGTTAAATGAGGATTATCACAGTAGTACAATTTTACATTTATTTCATGCTTTTAAAAGAAGAGATATCCCCTAATTCAGTGTGTACCACATAATTTAAGGGAGTGTATTAATATGTCACTAATACTTGTATAGGTTGGTACAGTTATTTGACATCAGCATAATAGAGAAGTGCAATACATAAGTGTTAGAATGAATCTGGTAACTGCTAAAATAGTTCAGAGAGTGCAAAAAGTGGAAGTGTGGCAAGTCATATGTCAACGCTTAAAGTAAAATTCCATACATCTGAGACTTGCAAATACCTAGACTTGGAACAGTTAGCAATATGGGGCTTTAACTTACCTTTTTTCCTTTCATTCCTCATGCTGACAGTTAAGTAACTGTTTTCTAGGTGCTGAACGAATATCAGAAGGAGATGTTACTCAAGAGCATACTTATAGTGAAATATCACCTGATCTTCAGGAGTCAACACTAGAAAAAAGGGAAATGTTAAACTTTGAGAAAGGAATCTCTCCCAATAATTTCTGTCCACAAAAAAATATTCCAAGTATATCTCCAAATCAGTCCCCTGAGACAACTGTTAAAAAGTTAACATTTGGAAATAGAAGTTTCTCACCAGTTTTAACTGAAGCATCTTTGGTAAGATACTCTACAATTATTTTAACTTAAATTGTTCCATTCAGCTGCCAACTGTTTTATGCTTTTGTACATCTCCTTTCAATAATGATTTTTTTTGTTCATGTGTAGCTCAGCTTAACGACATATAAAACTGTCAGTGGAAAATGTGCAAAGGGATCCATATCTGAAACACATGATAATAATGAGGATTCAAGTTTCAGACATTGCTTTTCAGACACACTTTCTATTAAAGGAAGACTACAAGATATGACTAAACCTATCATCCAAAGTAAAGAAGAGGTATGTTACTAAATCCTTTGCTCTTCAGAAGAGAGCTGCAGCTTTTCGTCTGTTTTATCCACTTTACAGATGGTGAGGTTTAAGGGAAATGCATCTTTCTTAATGTTAAACACGACATATAATGTTTTCTTGCAACCTGCTTAGAAAATCCTTCAAGTTAATTTTTAAATATTTGAGATAAATTAGGGAATTGTTTATCGTATGGATACAAGGAAAGAATTGTATCTCAGCAATTAATATCTTAAAATATAACAGGGAGTAAATATTTTCTTCTTGACTTTCAATAAAAAATAAACAATTTTTCACAAATTTAAAGAATTGTGATATCTGCATGGGAAAATTCCTGACGTGAAAAAGTGCTCTCATAGTTTTAGCATTAATATGCTACTCAATATAATAGCTATTGTAGCATTGGCAAATAAATAAAAATTGCTGTATACCTTCAAACCACTTCTCTTTTCTGGTGGAAAAAAGCACTAATGACTCCTCAAAGAAATAATTTTGTTTGTGTCCTATTGCAAGAAACAGTTAGACCTTAATTGGTCATTTGACTTATTGCTATCATTAATTATTCATAGAATCATAGAATCGTTAAGGTTGGAAAAGACCTCTAAGATCATCAAGTCCAACTGTCAACCCAACACCATCATGCCTACTAAACCATGTCCCAAAGAGCCTCATCTACACGTCTTTTAAATACTTCCAGGGATGGTGACTCTACCACTTCCCTGTCCCCGGGCCAGCCTGTTCCAAGGCCTGACCACTCTTTCAGTAAAGAAGTTTTTCCTAATGCCCAATCTAAACCTCCCTTGGCGCAACTTGAGGCCGTTTCCTCTCGTCCTAATTATTGTGGTGAAGAATTTGTTTATTCTTTCATCTAGTGACACCTAGTAGTAA